ATAATATCCCAATGAAAAATTTTTCATATATAATTATATAAAATTATATAAAATTATATATAATTATACATAATTATATATTATTATGTAAATAAATTTGTCCATTCATGTTCATACATTCTACTTCTATATGTAATTATATATAATTATATATAATAATATATATAAATTCATATATAATTTTACATATATATTTATTACCATTCAGCTATATACATTAAATAGCCAAGAAGGGGACTTGGTTTACATTAGCCAACTACCTCACACATTCCATACATCCTCCATTCATTCATTCTTTCCATTCCTCCATACTTTCTATATCTATATCACATTAAATTCACCTCTCTCTTTCTTCTTTCCTTTACCCTATTTCACTTTGTCCTTTTTCTTTTTCTTTTTCTCCTACTCTTTCTCTCTCTTTGATTTTACCCTCCCTTTCTCTCCACATTCTTTTTAATACTTTCCCTTTAATCTCATCGATTTCATCATCCCATATCCTTTCTTTTCCCCTACCTTCCATACTATCCATCTCCTCGAACCATCTCTTTCCCCACTCACATGTATACATATAATGATACATCTCATCCTGCTCCTTCCCACACATTACACACTTTCTCTCTTCCTCCTCTAACCAATACTTATTTTCTAACTCCAGATTACCGCACCTTAACTTAATAAGCGCTCTCACTTCTCCCCCCGCCTTTGCTCCCATCCTTATCAAACTGCTCTTTTCCAAATACTTATGTCCCTCCCCTATCTTCCTTATATCTTTATACCTTTTATTATACTTTGCCTCCCTAATCTTACTTTCTATCCACTGTTTTTGCACGTCTCTTTCCCTTTTTACTATCTCTCCCTCCATATCCCACCCTCCTTCCATTCCTTCCTTAACTCTTTCTACACCCCATCCATTCCTATTATAATAACTTTCCCTTTCCTTCCAATATAAATCTTTCCCTCCCCTTTCTTCCTTTTCTTCCCAACACTTTTTGATTAGTCTCTCTTCACTACTGTTCCTAATTTTTTCTTCATACCTTTTCGCCCTTATACCCCATCCTATTTTCAATTTTTCCATTCCTAGTTCATACATAATTATATACCTCGGTGTACAGAAATCCAATCTAAAAATCCACCTTACATAATCCATCATAATTCTTTCCAATTTCTCTTTTTCCTCCCACCCCCATATTTCTACCCCATACGACATCACACTTTGTACTAGATATCTAAATAATGCCCATCTCCTTACAAAATCATCTCTACATATTCTTTCTCCCAAACCCCAAACCTTGTTCAAAGCTACCCTGCCTTTCTTATACAAATCCCTTATATGTGCCTTATAATTCCCTGCTTGATTAAACGTAAATCCTAAGTACTTAAACTCCTTTACTTCTTCAATCCCTTTATCCTTCCATTTCCATTTTTCTTTCCTCTCCCTACCTTTCCTGTTAAACACCACTATTTTCGTTTTCTCCGTCGATAACTCTAGCCTTCTTTCCTTTAAAAATTTCTTCAACGTGTCCATCATATCTAACATCGCTACCCTGTTCTTTGCTACCAACACAATATCATCCGCATACGCTATATTCCATATTCTATCTTTACCTAATTCTATTCCTCCTACTCCTCTCCTTTCCATCATCTTATCTAATTCCGCAATATATATACTAAATAATAACGGGCTCAACGCACACCCTTGTCTCACTCCTTTTTTGGTCCAGAAGCTGTCCGTAAATCCATTCCTTGTTTTCACTATCATCTTGGTCTCTTCATATATCCTCTTC